GGACCTTGAAATATTCAGTCTACCTCATTCATAAAGTACTGGACATGGAGTCAGGAAGATCTGAGTTCAAATTCTGCCTCAAACACTCATTAACTGTGTCACTTAACTTCTCCCAGACTCAGTTACTTCATCTACAAAAGGGAAATAATAAGAGCTATCACACACACACACACACACACACACACACACACACACACACACACACACACAATGTTCCAAAAATCTTAGTGCACCTACCTCACAAGGTAGTTTGAGGATCAAATAAACTAATATATGTAAATTGTTTTGCAAATCTTTTTTTTGCCTTTTTTTTAGGCAATTGGGGTTAAGTGACTTGCCCAGGGTCACATAGCTAGTAAGTGTCAAGTGTTTGGTCTGAGGCCGGATTTGAACTCAGGTCCTCCTGAATCCAGAGCAGGTGCTCTATCCACTGTGCCACCTAGCTGCCCCCTTGTTTTGCAAATCTTAAAATGCTATATAAATGTTCATTTTGTTATTTTTATGTTTTATAGGTAAGGCTTAAAATGGGTCCAAACTCCCCTCTTTTTTCCAGTAGTAAAAATTCTCTGCTAAATCATCCAGGTTCAGACCATCAGACTCAATTTTGATTCCTCCTTTTCATTTATCACACACAACAAATCTATTAGCAAGTCAAGCCAAATTTTTAATTTACTCACCTAGTTCCCTTTCAGTGTTAAATTCTCTGATACTGTCACTCTAGCTACTCAAATCTTCTGCAGCTCCTATTTGTCTACAAAATAAAGTCTAACCTCCTCAACTAGTTAATTCAAGGCCCTCCACAATCTTAAACAATCTATCTTTCCAGCTTAATCTCTTATTACTTTCCTTTACAAATATTTTCCTGCATCCAGACTGGTTTATATAACATCACTAATCAGGCCTGGCACATGCCTCCCTCCATGACTTGTAATGTTATTTTTTTCTGTATGGGTGCTGTGTTAAGGAATAGTATTAACATTGGTGGTCATATGAATGTACTAGGCAAAGTACAGAGGAAAAGACTCAGAGAAGTAAGATGGGCCATGTCAGACTAATTGATCTCCTTGACAACGTAGCATATATTCATTCTATGCTTATTTAATATTTCTCAACCCAGGAGCTTCAAAGGATTCTTGTTTCCATTTTTCCATTTAAAAGTTATGCAAAACACACACATAGTCACACATGCATACTTATTCAACAGCCAAGGGCAACTCCAATAATTTCTCTTCAATCCATATATCTTTCAAGTGTTCTGGGATTTCACTTCTTCCTCATTTGAACTTGTAAGCATGATTTTTAAGTTTACTTTAATTTAATTTAATAATACCTGTTGGAGATATGGCTAGAAAAGGAAGGTTTCAGTTTCAGTAGACCCAGGTAATCAAATGAAAAATAAAATACATGAATTTCAGGAAGTGTTATTAACTTGACTCTTCAGGGATTCATGTTAAAGACTTGCAATAATTAAGTTATATTGACTCAGAATTCTGACATATTGACAGATTTTGTATTCAGAGGCTCACTTTCAAACTGGTCCCAGTTAGAAAAGACAGCAGTCTTCAGTATTTAAACGGCATTCATGCAAAAAGAAGGTAGCCTGAGACCCTGATCTTTGAATTGGAAATCATAAGGGGAAAGAAAGGGAGAGTAGTATAAGCACATTGAGTGGCTGAAAGTTAAAAAGGGACTTGTTATGCCTACCAGAGGCCTTCTTTGCTTCTTCCCTCTTTCCTTGTACATACTGATTAGATATGTGACTGAAAATTATCTGGATGTGTCAGTCAAGGAAAATTCAATTTCTAAAAGCTAGATTTCACAAAATGTCTCACCTATGGAACATGGAGGAAGGGGTGCAGAGAAGGACAACAGTAGTGGTAAATTAAGGCAGCTTATGCCTATACCTATCTACCTTGCTTTAGTAACTGTGCCCTCTTGACCAAGGTTGGGTCAATTTTCCAAAGGAATGAAAGCAGACAGAGAATTGAGGGAAAATGCCTTGTACATCTGATATCAGTTTATTATAGCATCACCATTAATTAATCCTTAATTATCATTTTACAAATTAGAATGAACATTGAAGGCCAAGTTTAATGCAGAAATACTCCATCCGAATACAATCACTTAGAAAAGAATCCAGTGCTCTTGAGGGTTATAAACCTTTAATTTTTCTCAATAGTAATATGATTTTTCGGTTCAACCAAATATAGTCTTCAAAACCAGATACTATGGGATTTGCCCAGCCCTTCACACTTGTGTTTTATTTTCATCTTTTTATGAATGTTAAGAAGTGGGACAAAAAGTTTCCAAAAGTAAAACCACCCTTCTCCACTTCTAATACTCAGCTTCAATATACATGCAGGAAATGTTGGCACAGGTTTAATTTCTAGGGGGGAAAAAGTTTAATTTTTAATGATTTAAATATTGGAACTAAGAGGCAAATCACCTGGGATCCAAGTGTGATTCTGCCCTAACTAGCCATGTGACCTTGGGTAAATCATTGAAAATCTACTGGCTTTGGTTTCCTCATCTACAAACTGAAGGGTGATCTCCAAGGTCCTTCCCCATCCTCATGTTAACCTATGATTGATTTGAAGACATTTTTTACTATAAATTTTATGAAAACCAATTAGCAACAGAAGGAGAAGGATTTTTGAGGTTATCCTCTCATCTAGTTCCATTTCATTCACGGTGATTAAATAATAAAATTAAACTTCCCAAATTAGTAAAAGTTGGATTGGAAATTCCTATTCTCCCCCCCCCCATGCTAATGAAACATATTCATACAATTCATAATGACCTAGAGATTTAAACCTCAACCTCTCCCAGCTCATATGCTTAGCCTTTTTATTTTTTCTTTTCACAGGAGATGCTGTCCATTTATTTGATAGGTTAAACAGCAGGACAGTTTTGTGAGTTTATCAACTGGCTTGAGGCAATAGGGCTGCTACTTCAATTCTTTGAATACTTAAACAAATGCACTTTCATTGGTAACTTCTGCAACTTGAAAATACAACACTGCTCTCAAAATAAGAAGCTCAAACATCCAAAAGGTAGAAACTCAATTGAGGGAAAAAAAGAGGAGGGAAGGAAAGGGAGGGGAAGGAAAGATAATAAATCTTTTATCAATACTGTGATTTTAAGTAACTATCATCAGAAAACTGGAAGGCTGGATGCGAATGTGCTACATCTCTTAATTTCAGTTAAGCTAATCAGTGTCAAATGATTTGAAAAATATACTTCCACCTGTAGCACAAGGGTAACATTCCATTGGGTTGGGCAACAGAGTACAAGTTTCTCAACAAGGATAGGGGTTGAAGCAACTGGAAGAATAATTGCTGTTGGGGACCTAAGCTCCGTTGTCCAAATGCTTCCACTAATTTAACAACCTCATTCCTGCAAAAGGTGCAATTCTGTTAGATTTGGGGCCCACCCCCGGATCGGGTAACATAACCCTGTATATAACAACATTCAGAAGCACAATGCAGTGGAAACTTCCTCACAGATCCCAGCAGGCCCTACGAGATTTAAGATGTTCCACTCCGAGGCCACAAACAGATGTGTCTCCCTACCAATTTACAAGATGGAGCTCCATATTCCCAGATTTAAAACCCGGATATTTCCACCACAGGAGAAAAAGAATAAAAAAAAGGACCAACAGTATCTCATTTGGAATAAACTTCTGTTTTCGTGAAGGCTGAATACCAAGTCTGTTGAGTTTTCCAGAAAAGCCAAACGAGGAGACCCCTTCAGAACCTGAAAGCTTGGCAGTTAGATGAGCTTGTCAGTTCAACAAGCACCAATGTGCTCAAGCCCCAAACACCCTTCCCCCCCCCCCCATTTAGCCTTGGTCAGCAGTGGTGAACGGAGCAAAGAATGTATCACTCCCTCCCCAGAAGTCTTAGCTACTTACTCTCCCTGGTTTCCTTTATGTAAACACAAGAATTGCAGGCTGTGACTTTAAGACAGAAAGAGTCAAACAGTGCAGTGGTCCTTGGAAAGCGCTAGAAGTTGTTTCTGCTCTCTAATAAAAGCATGCGTTCCCCCATGCATCCGTGGAAGGAGACATATATGAGAGAGGAGGCAATTTGACACTATCTTAGGACTCTGAGAGATCAGTCTCCTTGGCCCCTAGCAGAGGTCAGGGCTCGGGTGTTATTATCTACAGAGTACAGATTTCTGGTTATCAGTGGTTTGTGATGGAACAGCCGGTACTTCCCATTGTAGAGAAGTTGAGAAGCAAATTGTTCAGAGATTCCGATAATGACTTTTTGTCCATTGGAAGCTCTCTCCTTTTGTTTGGTGAGGCAAAATACAGAGGCTGCTTCATATCACTCGCCTGATGCAAACTCGCCCAGTACCCCTACTGTTCTCAAGCCCCTTTTAAGTGAGGCCTCCGGTACTTACGGATTTACTTTCACGATTAATATTCTAGTGTAATCTTTCCACTTTCCCCTGGATTGAAGGAAATGGGCAGGGAAAACAAACTGAGCAGATACTATGCATAGGCTTCTTTTCGTCACTCTGGGGAACGCTGGAAATTCGGTGTCCACAACTAGCAAAGTTCTCTGAAAGCCCTGCAGCCTTTCTGATCTTAGTGCACCTGGAGGAGAAAGGGAGTGGATGAAGACGGAAGGGGATGAGGCTAGCGGAATGACTTAAAGTTCTGAGGGTTGGTACCGGCAGGTCGTGAAGGGGATAAACAGATTAGATGCCCAGCAACTTCAGTATCTTGTACTCAGAAACACCCAGCGCAACCCTGCTATGGCTGGCCGTGACTGTGGTTCACTGCTTTGTTTTCAGTTCTGTCCTGGGAAGAAGGAAACTGAGCAAGAACTTGGAGACTGTCCAGGTTTAGGGAGCTTCAGTTATGAACAAGAGAGAAAATCGCAACCAACTTTGTTTCACAGATAAACTCTATTGATTAGGAGTACTCCTCCCCAATCCCCACCCCCTCTACCCCATTGCGGTTCCATTACGTTCGAATAATCCCCCTTCCCCCCGCCCCCAGTATTGGGTTGCATTGACTAAAAAGGATTGGAACCCTGAAAGCAGAGGCAGTGGTGATGTGGAGGTTTAGGAGAAAAGATGCAAGCTGAATTTAGAAGTGAGTGGCTTATCAGGAAGTGGGGTGAAGGTGAGGTTGAGCTTGGGCAGGGGTCCGATTGAGCAGCCTGCAGTCAGCCAACAAGGTATCACTGCCGGCAGAATTTGCACCTGACAATCTTCTTGAAAGCACTTTGGAAATCTTTATTGAAGTAGGCATAGATGACAGGGTTGAGCAGGGAGTTGGAGTAGCCTAGCCAGTTGATGATCGCACCTAGAGAGTCGGGCATGTGGCAGCTGCTCTCGCAGAAGGGTAGGACCAGGGCCACGATGAAGAATGGCAGCCAACAGAGGATAAAGGTACCCATTATGATGCCCAAAGTCTTGACCGTCTTCCTCTCCCGAGCCAAGGCCATCTTTCTCTTGGCTTCTGCATTCCTTTCGTTCTTTTTCTCGAAGGAGGTGGTGCTGGGGACTCCACCAGCGTCACTGGGGAGAGTTAGGTGGTCCTTGGAGTTGCTGTAGTGGTGGATCTCAATCACCTCCAGGGCGGCGCGATCCTCACACTGCCTCACAGCCCCGTTGACGCAGGGTGCCCCCACAGTATTGGGCTCCGCCCCGCGCCTCCCGTTCTTGCCCCTGGGTTCCCCATTGATGCTCTTCTTGGGTGGGGGAGCCGGGGAAGTGCTGAAGCAGCTGTTCCCGGACTTCTCTGCCTTCTTGACTGTCTTGCGGATCCGGAACCGGGCAGCTTTGAAGATCCGCCCGTACAGCACGAGCATCAGCAGCAGGGGGATGTAGAAGGCGCCAAATGTGGAGTAAATGGTATAGCCATGGTCTTTGCTGATGGTGCAGGCGTCGGGGTTAGAGCGGTCTTCTGGGGTCCGCCAGCCCAGCATAGGTGGGATAGAGATCAGAAAGCCTATGAGCCAAGTGAGGCTGATAAGGACAGCAGCTCTCCGGGGGGTCCTCTTATTTACATAGTCAATAGGGTCAGTGATGGCCCAATACCTGTCCAGAGCAATGGCACACAGGTGCAGGATGGACGACGTGCAGCAGAGTACATCCAGAGAGATAAAAATGTCGCAGGTTACCTGGCCCAGGGTCCACTTGTTGAGGACCTGGTAGAGAGCAGCCATGGGCAAAACAAGCACGGAAACCATCAGGTCGGTGACGGCCAGCGAGCCGATGAGATAGTTAGCCACGTTCTGCAGGGAGCGCTCCAAGACAATTGCGGCCACCACACAGGCATTGCCGATCACCGCGCAGAGGATCAGGGAGCCCAGCAGCACCGAGGTGACTACCTGGTAGCCGAAGGTCACGTCTGAGAAATCAGTACTATTGCCCTGATCGTAGGGAGAGTCACTGGAGGTAGTGCTGTTGCTCTGGTTGTTAAGGTCAGCGTGACCGTGGGGCAGGGGATTGTTGTGTGTGAATCCATCCATGCCGCGGAGGTGGTAAGCTGGGCAGGAGTGTGAGGCACGGGCCTCCACTTCCCCCTTTCTTGTTTTTGTCCTCTTCTCACTTCTAGAGAGTTAGGGAGATGGGGGGACGGGGCAGCTTAAGCTGGGAGTTGTCCTCTCTCGGAAGAAGTCACTGGTTCAAACATCTTCAGCAAGACACACAGCTGGTGTACTTGTTTAGTCTGGCGGGCACCTTGATCACCGGCATCAAACAGAAGTTAGCGGAGAAGTAATTCCGAATAAGTCAGATATGTTGGGCTGTAGCTGGAGTCTCTGTCTTTCTCTGTCCACTCTGGTTTGCAGCAGTTCCTGTCGCTGCCGATGTCCAACTGCCAGCCTGAGCAGGAGACTCTTCTACTCATAAACAGCTTAAAGACCTGCAAGGAGCTAGAAAAGAGAACATCCAGTCTTCCTATGTCACTCAGTGACTCTCTCTCTCTGTCCCTCTCTGTCTGTCTGTCTGTCTCTCTCTCTCTCTCTGTCTCTCTTTCTGTGTGTGTGTGTCTGTTTCTCCCCCCTTCCCCTGCGCTCCCTTCCTCCCTCCTTTCCCCTCCCTCTCTTTCCTTTTCCCTCTTCCTCTCCCTCCTCCTTCTTTTCCCCTACTCGTCTTTACCTCCCTGTCTCCTATCTCTTCTCTCTCCCCACTCCCCTTTATTTATCACTCTCTCTGCCACTCTGACGGCTTCTCTCCCTCCCTCCCACACTCTTTCCTTTCCCTCCCCCTTCTAATGCGGCGTGTCTCCCTGACTATTTGCCCCCCCCCCACTCCCCGATCGTTGCCATCCAGTTCAACTCTCAGCAGCACAACTGGGAAGGGCTTCTGGGTTCAGAATCCTTGCACATACCCCTGGCCATCTATTAGGTTAGCATTATAACAATTGCTCTGACGCCACTCAAGCCCAAGGAAGAAACAACACATTTAAAACTACTAAGTACCTTAGGTTTGACGGGGGAAAAAAAAAAAAAGGATTGACATGTAATTTCTTCTGGGAGTGGAACAAAAAAAGATTAAAATAATTTAGAGGAGTGGTAAATGAGGAACTAAGTTTCTAAATGCTTGATCCACTATTCTGTATTGTAATCAGCAAAAATGGAAAGGAAAGTAATGAATCTTCACGTTGGATTTTCATCTTTATCCTCTAAACAAATTTCCATTAAGAAGCATATAAGCAATTTGTTAGAAGCCTAATTGAATACGTGATTCTTTGTTTTTGCGCCCCCAACAAATGCACACTCTTTTTTTCCCCTAGTATTTGCAAAATATCACAGCCACCAAATGACGTCTCTACATGACTTCTTTAAGTCGCCCTCCACGCTTAAGAGAGCAAGATATCCTTTTGTTCCTAAGCTAATGTTACTTGTGAGGTCAAGGCATTTTGCCTTCCATTCTTCTGAACCAATACAGCTGTACAGGAACTTCTGAGGAGAGTGCTATGGGAGCCCTGGGCTGCTCAAATAACAATCTGCTTCCAGTGACTGTAATCAGCACCTGGGACAGTTCTGAACAAGGAGGGCCTTTGTCGCCACCTGCAGGAAAGTGCCTCTGAGATTCACAGGATTTCATTGTGTTTCCAGAACTAGAGGAAAAAACTGTTAGTCAATTTACTGGAAACAGAATACCTCTGTAAGATGGACCGTTTTGCATATTTCCTTCTCCTGCTTAAAGTAGCTGTTCCTGCCTTCAACCTTGAATGGAAGGAAAAATGCCTTGACCTCACAACCAACACTAGCTTAGGGACAAAAATTAGCTTGCTCTTTCAAGTTGGGGAAGGGTGACTCAAAAGAGAATCAGGGAGATATCTTTTGAGGACTGTGATGTTCATTAAAATGCTAGCCTTGTCCTCAATCAACCTATGTTACCTGACTGCTTTGTGGGGGAAAAAAACATGACATTAAGCTCTTTCTAACTTCAGATATGAATGCTCAAATTAAGCAAACTCAATGTACTCTATATGCTATATAGTTAAGCACTTCCAGAAAGCCCTGCATTTATGTTTAATATTGTCTAAATCTAGGATTTAGTGCTTAAACATTCATGCCTACAAAATTTTAAACAGATGAAACTAGAGAGTTTGTTGTTGTTGTTGTTGTTGTTTTGAGAAAATAAGGCCTTCACAGAGAATACAATGACATTGTAATTGTTTTAAGGAGAGGAACAAATTGCAAGGTTTTCTCTTTTAGAGGATGAAAGAAAATTGGAGTTTCTGGGGAAAACTTTCAAAGTCAACTGGAATGAAGTATAATACAGCAGAAAATAAATACAGTACTCACGGTTCACTGATAAACTTATTTTACATTCCAAAGTAAAGGAGGAAATATTTCATGCTGGCATAAAAGTAGGTGACCCTAGAAGTGCAATATAATACACATGCATGTGCGCGTGTGTGCACGCACACACACACACATACACACACTGTCTCTCAGGATTATTACAATATTTCATTGAACTTTGGAGATTTGTCTTTCTTTATCTCACATTCCTGAAAGCTGCAAAAGTGGGTAAAGACAAATTGTTTTAGAATTCAATGCTGGACATCATTCCCACTCAATCACTCCATTGTGGTTTAATTATGAAATAGGCATTTATGATTATTTATGACACTAAAAACAAAGAGATCAATCTACATGGTGTTACTGGAGACTCTACAGTAGTGCTTTAAGATCCATCGGGGGTTTTTTTCTATTTTTCCCTTTTATCTAGTCCCCTCAAAGTCACAATACTAAACAGTTTTGTTAAAACATTGCTATATATCCAGAGTAAACAATCTAACAAACCACTGAAATCTTGATCTTTAGAAAAGAAAGACTTTGGAAACATAATTAATAACAGAAGCAAGACTGAATCTGAAAGATGAATGTATATATATATATATATATAATATATATATATATACACACACACACACAGAGTTTAAAAAAAAAACAACGCATTTTACACTATTAAAACTTAAAGCTGAACTGAGATTTTAGGGCCCAGTCTGTGAGATATATGTATGTGTGTATATGTATGTTTATATACAATACATATACATTTGCATGCATATGTGGGAATGAATGTATTGTGTCTATATATAAGCACATGTATGCATTATTACATATAAGAAGTTATATGTCTTATGGTTTGACCCTTGATAAATAGCCAAGCTTAGAGGAAAACTTAGGTTTGAGTACCATCTCTAGCACATTTTAACTATATGACCATGGACAAGGAATAACTTCTCAATGCTCCCAGCAACTTTCTAAGTTAAATATAAATTTAATATCTGCATGAGTGAAAGGAATTTCCACATCAAGTTCTGCATACTGATGAAATTCTAGACTAAACTGCATAGTGATTCCAGACCTAGGATTTCGTTGATGGAGAGAACTACCAGTGAGGAAACACCTTCTACCAAAACAAGTCTTTAGTAACTTATAGTCTTAGCGAATGGCTGGGGGAACTTGCCCTTGGTCACACAGCTAGTATATGCCAAAGGGAGAACCTGATCCTAGGTCTTCCTAACTCCAAAGCTTCCTCTCTTCATTTTTCTATGCCTCATCCCTGATTATATATGTTGGGGGCAATCTTGAATAAAAATTGCACCATATTTGATAATCATACCATTTAATATAAAACACCAGTAAACATGCCAAGACTACAGGATTACAGAATTTTTTGAAACTGAAATGCTTACATTTTCCTTTAGCTGGAAAGTTAAAAATATGTAAATTATATAAAGACAAATCATTAACATTACTTGTCCTATGGCCTGACTTTGGGTATCTGGACTGATGTTTTATGATATTTTCACTGTTATTAAAAAAAACTCTTTTACAAAGTAAATTATGTTTATATCTTCAACTCTCAAGATATGCAAATAATACCACAAGAATTCTAGATCATGAGATAGCATGCCATTTTGAGGCAGTTTTATGAATACTATTAAGAGATTCACAGATGCAGGTGCACTCAGTACATACTGCTCTTAAATAAATTCTGAGTATTCCTTGTGACTAGAAGATACCTCTTTGGTGATGAATTCTTTCACTGCATCACATTCATTCACATGGGTTATTACTAAAGCCAGAAAAAAAATTTCCTTCATATTCACGTTTCAAATATTCTTAGGTTTTAAAATCAACCACATGTAGCATTTTTAACCTACTTTGAAATAACAATGCAAACCAAAAGTACTAACTAGGATTTTTTAAAATTAATTTATTTTTAATTTTCAACAGTCACTTCCATATACTTTTGAGTTTTAAATTTTTTGCCCCCTCTCTCCCCACCTTCTTTCCCAATGTAGTGTGCAATCTGGTATAGGCCCTACATATACATTCCTATTAAACATATTTTCACATTAGTCGTGTTGTAAGGAAGAATTAGAATCAATAGGAGGAACCACCAGAAAGAAGAAATAAAACAAAACAGAAGAGAAAAAAAGAGTGAATAGTATGCGTCAATCTGCATTCTAACTCCACGGGTCTTTCTTTGGATGTGGACAGTATCTTCCATCATGAGACTTTTGGAGATGTCTTAGATCCTTGCATTGCTGAGAAGAGTTAAATCTATCAAAGTTAGTCATTGCTGGCTGTTAACTGTGTACAATGTTCTCCTGGTTCTGCTCACTTCACTCAGCATCAGACCATACAAGTCTTTCCAGGTTTTTCTGAAGTCCACCTGCTCATCATTTCTTATAGCACAATAGTATTCCATTACATTTATATACCACAACTTTTAAGTAGGATTTTTATTTTTATTTTGGGGGGTTTATTTTAGGCATTTGGAGTCAAGTGACTTGCCCAGGGTCACACATCTAGCAAGTGTCAAGTGTTTGGTCAGGTCCTCCTGACTTCAGGGCTGGTGCTCTATCCACTGTACCTTAACTAGGATTTTTAAAGGAGAGTAAGTAAAGATATTACCTCATTACTCTGATAAATCTTGAGATGAACATAGCATTATATAATAACAAAAAACCTAACTTTGAATCATTCTTTGGCAAAAGTCCTGGTCCTAATGATGTTATTTGTAGCTTGGATTTGCAGGTCATAGATGTGACTTTATAAGGTTGTTGACCTTGGTTGGTTGTTATTCTTCATTCTCAAAGAGGACTAAAATGACATGACTAAGTTAGAGTCAAGTTACAGTGTGCCTGACTCTAGCTGATCACACCAATACAAGCTCTAGGACATGACAAATATATGTAAACTTCCTCTAGAGTAATTAGGGGAGGGGGACAGGAAGTTTTTCTTAACATCTCAGATAAGAAATTTTATGTGTGTACAATGTAATGTAATTGACAGAAGCAAAGAATACTAAACTGGAATCCCCAATTTTATAGATGAAGAGACTGAGGACTACAGAAGCCAAATTACTTGCCCATGATCACAGAGCTACATAGTCATAGAGCAGAGAGTGGAATCCAAGTTGAGTGCCTCTCAAGTTAGAGTTCCTTTCACATGATCAATCTGCCCACCTTTTGATTTCCTTTT